CTGGGATACTGAAGAATCACTCTCCTCTCCACTTTCCCCTTTCTTCTGGCTCCTGACTGCCCACAGCTATCATTTCATGAGCTAGGATCAATTTCCCCCAAATGGAAAACTGTAATGGAAGCCCCCCTGCTTTTTTTTTTTTTCTTGTCAGCCCTTATGGCCTAAAAATTTTCTTGTTCTTCACCATCCAGAAGGATTGGGAGGGCATCTGTGAAGTTGGATGTTTGATCTGAACGCTCTTTCTAGAGCAATTTCTAATATAGATCAGTCTTGTCACCCAACACTTGAGCATTTTTCCATTTAGGGAAATGTCTGTTTATTTTTCTCTCTTTTCCCTAATCCACTTCCACTTTCTCCATCTTTACTTCCTCTCACCCCAAAAATAACTTTGAATAACCTCTGCAGTGCAGCTTTGCCAAGAGCATTTTTAAAACAAATTCTATTTGTATCATCTTTGATTAAGTAGTTGTACAAAGGCCAGGAGCATTTTAACCTCCAAAGTTCTGGCCACTGGCTTCTCTGTGTACAGCAATAACCTATTTTATGTCAGCTTGAAAGAACTCTCAGAGGTGAGTCAGACATGATTTTGTCTTACTGGAAACATCTTGATTGTCCTTTATTTAATTATTTTATTTATTTATTGCCAGTCCTGGGGCTTGAATCCAGGGCCTGGACACTGTCGCTGAGCTTCTTTTGCTCAAGGCTAGCACTCCATCACTTGAGCCACAGACCCACTTCCTGCTTTTTCTGTTTATGAGGTACTGAGAAATCAATCCCAGGGCTTCATGTGTGCCAGGCAAACACCCTACTACTAAGCCACACTCCCAGCCTGATTGCCCTTTAGCTGGTCCTGTTTCCTAAAGTACCTAGAGCACCTCTACTGTAATAGGAAGGACTTGGGCTTTAGAACCAAGCAGGGCTGGGTCTAGAGTCTACACTCAATTTCAGTGGTCATGATATGACTAACTTTGGATGGTTGCTTAAATGGTGGTGTTAATCATATGTCCTCACATCTGTAATCCTAGCTACTCAGGAGGCTGAGATTCTGAGGGTCATGCTTCAAAATTAGCCCAGACAGAAAAGTCCATGAGACTCTGATCTTCAACCAACCACCAGAAAATGGGAAATGGGGTTGTGGTTCAAAGTGGTAAAAGACTAGCCTTGAGCAAAAGAGCTCAGGGACAGTGCCCAGGGCCTGAGTTAAAGCCCTATGACCAATAACAACAAAAAAGTCTTATGTCCCTTCAAGCAGTCTTTCCCAAATGTGAACATACACAGAAGTCACCTGAGAATCTAGGTATACAACATAGATTCAGCTTCTCTAGATCTGGATGTTTTAAAAGCTTCTCTCTTAGGCAATTCTAATAGGTAGCCAAATTTGAGAAATGTGTCTTTATTAGTGACAGTAAAAACTGTTAGTGTCACATAAAATGCTGAGAAAAAGCTGGGCACCAGTGGCTCACGCCTGTAATCCTAGCTACTCAGGATGCTGAGATCTGAGGATCACGGTTCAAAGCCAGCCTGGACAGGAAAGTCTGTGAGACTCTTATCTCAAATTAACCACCAGAAAACCAGAAATGGCACTGTGGCTCAAGTGGTAGAGTGCTTGCCTTGAGCTGAAGAGCTCAGGGCCAGCTCCCAGGCCCAAAGTTCAAGCCCCACGACCGACCTCTTCCTTTACCTCTCCCCCTCCCCTGCAAAAAAAAATGCTTAGAAAAACGCAAAGACTCAGGGCTGAAATGAATAAATATGCCCACATTTGGACACCAAGCCAAGCATCAAACTTACCCAGTAAGTAAAGCAGACTTGAAATAGATAACAGGAAGAAAAGTTAGGATAGAGTTCAAAAGAAAGGACCTGAGGGGCTGGAAAGGTGGCTCAGTGGGAGAGTGCTTGCCTTGCATGCATGTGGCCCTGGGTTCAATTCCTCAGTACCACATAAATAGAAAAACCAGAAATGGCACTGTGGCTCAAGTGGTAGAGTGTTTGCCTTGAGCTAAAGAGATGAGGGACGGCGCCCAGGCCCAGAGTTCAAGTCCCATGACTGACAAAAAGAAAAAAAGAAAGGACCTGGAATTCCTCTGCAACCACCCCCCCAAAAACCCTCAGGCTCTGTTCATCAAATACTGAGCACTTGCTTTGTGCCAAGCCCAAGGAAACTCTTGAGTATGAATGAGACATGATTCCTGCCTTGAAGGAGCATGTAGCATGACAGAAGGTAGATAGGTTATGGGAAGTGGTAGGAATATTTCCACGTACTGAGGAGGACCAAAAGAACATGAACTTGCTGGATCTTGCAGGATAAGCAGCAGTTTTCCAGGTGGAGAGGAAGAGTCTGTGAGGGAGCTGCAGGTTTTTGGGGTGAAGCTGGCGTGTAGAACGTAGGTGAGGAGTGATCGGTCAGGAGGCTGGCAGGGAGGGAGGCGTACTGACACACCCCATGGGGCCTGTAACTGCTATAAAGCTTGGATTCTCTCTGTGTGGAATTAAGCCCACTGAAAATTTTGAAATCAGAGGGTCGTCTGTTCAAACTTGTGTTTTTGGAGGATCCTTAGGAGTCTTGTGGAAGATGGATGTAAGGGGAAACTGAGGCAGTGGGGAGCCCATAGTCGGGCCCAGTCAAGCTGTGAGAATTGCATTGAAAGCAGCAGGTATCAGTGAGGACAGAAAAGCTGGGAGTAGTCATCACCCCAAGATGCCAATCTGATGGCGTTTTGCATGGCAAAGATCAAGGGGTGGGTGAGTGGGATGCGGGGGAGGGAGTAGGAGGTAAGGTAGATAAGTTGCCATGCATATTAAATTTCAGGATTTACTTCCTCTCAAGGTTCTACAAGGGCCAAACCTTGAACAAGAAGGAGTCAAGCCGAGCACCAGTGGCTCATGCCTGTAATCCTAGCTACTCAGGAGGCCAAGATCTGAGGATCATGGTTCAAAGCCAGCAGGAAAGTCCTGCAGGAGAAAGTCCATGAGACTTATCTCCAATTAATCACCAGAAAACCGGAAGTGGCTCTATGATTCAAGTGGTAGAGCACTCACCTTGAGCTGGAGCTCAGGGACAGTGCCCAGGCCCAGAGTTCAAGCCCCATGACCGCCGCCACCACCAACAACAAAAAGGAGTCAGGACGAGTTGTCAGGTGATGGGTTGGTGGTGACACCATTAGCTTCTCAGTTGGCTTTCCTTTCTTCCTGGCTTCCATGGCTGGGGTAGGGGGACTGGTGTGCAGTTTTCACCACCCCCACTGGCCCAGCTTTGTTCAGTGTCCACTGGCACCAGCACCTCACCCATCCCAACCCTTAGCTTCTTGTTCTCCGAGTCTGGTGGTGTCCCCCTTCCTCTGAAAGCCAGGCAGGTCAGCCATTTCCACTGGTGGGGAAAGAAATGTCAGCGAGGGCGGGAAGGCAGCCAAATTCTTCTGGTGGCTCAAGGTGATGTCAACCTTCCTGGAAGCCTGTGATGAAATCAGAGAGCAGCTGTTGCCCATAGACAATAGAGACAGTGCATTTTATGGAGTCACAATCCATGCAAATGAGTTAACTTCAGCTTCCAATTCCAGTAGCCCCTACGGAAGGCCTGTGGCCAGCACTCATCCAGACCTTTCTACAGCACTAGGCTCTTAGAGACTGGGGTGCAGGGTTCAAATCTCTCCTCTTTGTTACTTTGTAGCTGCCTGGCCCCAGGCTAGCTCTTCTCGCTTTCTTCATTTGTTCAATGGGGAGAGGAGTAGTCCTCTCCCTTCCGGAAGACAGAGATAATGACAGTTGAGGACTTGGTTCATCACCTGACAGACAGTGCTCCGCTTGTTCACCAGCCATGGACTGAAGGTGGTTGTGTCCCAGTACTCCAGATGTAAGCACTGAGGGGAGTAGTAGTTCACCTATGGCCTCCAGCCTGGTAGGTAAAGCCTCAGTCTCGCAGACTGTCAACAAAGCTCAAGCTGCCCCTGGAGCCCCATTGGGTTGCTACAGAATCTCTCTCTTGGGTTTTTCTTCTGATTTCTATGAAGGTCAAAGATTAGACCCTTTCCTGCTGCCTATGAGGTGAGCTGTCCTCTTGACTTAGGAGCTGTTTAGCTTAAGGGCTGGGCAGCTTAGTTTCTAACTTTTCTCTCCCTTTCCTGCACACCAGCTGGGACCTAGTTGTCAGGATTAAATCACCACCTACTCTCCTTAGAGACATGGAGAACCAGTCTTCCCTCTGTATCCAAAGCAAAGAAGTCAGGTGCTCTGTATTCCCAGAGGGGGGCGCTCTCTCTCTCTCTCTCTGTCTCTCTCTGTCTCTCTCTGTCTCTGTCTGTCTCTGTCTGTCTCTGTCTGTTGTCTGTCTTTCTTGTGCCAGTACTTGTGTTAAGTTTGCACTCAGAGCCTGGGCACTGTCCCTTAGCCTTTTTGCTCAAGATTGGCTTTGTATTGCTTGAACCACAACTCCACTTCTGGTTTTTCTCTTTTTTTCTTTTCTTTTTTTTCCCGGTTGGTCGTGGGACCTGAACTCTGGGCCTGGGCACTGTCCATCAGCTCTTCAAGGCTAGCTAGCACTCTACCACTTGAGCCACAGCACCACTTCTGGCTTTTTTCTGCTTATGTGGTGTTGAGGAATTGAACCCAGGGCCTCATGAATGCAAGGCAAGCACTCTAAGCCACCTTCCTAGCTCCCCCACTTCTGGTTTTATTTTTTGTGGTTTTTTTGGTGCTTAACTAGAGATAGGAGCTCAGATTTTCCTCAGCATCCTGAGGAGCTAAGATTGCAGACATGAGAGAGACACCAGCATCCAGTGGGGCTCCTTCTCTTTGCTTTTCAAATGACCGTGTCAACAATGGGAACCTTGTGCTTGGGGCTCCAGAGGCTGGAGGGGAAGATCCATTTTTATCAACGTCCCAGGCAGCATCTGGGAACATCTGACATCACTCCACAAGGACCCAGAACAAAATCACTTAAGGTGGGGCTGTTGTGACTCATTACAAAAAGCCTACCTCTGAACCTCTCTGTGTGTCTATGTTGCCAGGCTATGGAAAGTAAGCTGCTCATTGGCGGCAGGAACATCATGGATCACACCAATGAGCAGCAGAAGATGCTGGAACTGAAGAGGCAGGAGATCGCTGAGCAGGTAGGGCTGCCAGGCTTCAAGTCTCCTTTGGGGGAGGGAGTACATGGTCTCAAAGTCGTGTGTAGGAAATGGACATGACCATGGCTATAAGCTATCATGGACTTGGGACCCTTGGCATTATAATACCAAGAATCGAAGACATACCACTCTGGGTGGCATGGGTCTTCCAGCCCGGGATCCTCCCTCTGGCAGGGGCACAGCTAGCTGATGCATGGTGGCTGTTCATGTAGTCAGCCTCCTCAAGGATATGAGTTTATGGGCATCCATATGACTGTTTACTATCATCAAGAATAACAATTTGGGGGCTGGGAAGGTGGCTCAGTGGTAGGGTGCTTGCCTTGCATGCATGAGGCTCTGGTTCGATTCCTCAGCACCACATAAGCAGAAAAAGCCAGAAGTGGTGCTGTGGCTCAAGTGGAAGAGTGCTAGCCTTGAGCTGAAGAGCTGAGGAACCCAGTGCCCAGGCCCAGAGTTCAAGCCCCACAACTGATAAATAATAATAATAATCATAATAATAACAATAATTTGAGGCAGGTGCCAGTGGCTTACTCCAGTAATCCTAGCTACTCAGGAGGCTGAGATCTCAGGATCCTGGTTAGAAGCCAACGCCAGGCAGAAAAGTCCCTGTGAGACTCTTATCTCCAATTAACCATTCAAAAACGGTAAGTGGTGCTGTGGCCCAAGTGGTAGAGCACTAGCCTTGAGCACAAAGAGGCTCAGGGACAATACCCAGGCCCTGAGTTCAAGCCCTGCAATGACCTCTCCCTCCCAAAAAAGAAAATTTGTAGGTTACCAGTTACATTTTTTTTTGCCAGTCCTGAGCCCCAAATGCAAGTGAGTCACTGGCTCCCAGCTCTAGTTAACTTTTTGACACTACATAGGAGGCAACCAGCCTATGGGGGTAATACCCCAGCTGTTAGGACTGTAGGGTTTCCATCCACATGAGCAGTGCCTGGCAAAGGCATGGCCATAAGGGCTGAGTCACGGGGCTGTGAAGGTGGCTCGGTGGTAGAGCGCTTGCCTTGCATGCATGAGGCCCTGGGTTCAATTCCTCAGCACCACATAAGCAGAAAAAGCAAGAGGTGGTGCTGTGGTAGAGGGCTAACCTTGAGCTGAAGAGCTTAGGGACAGCGCCCAGGCCCATAGTTCAGGCCCCATGACTGACAAAAAAAAAAAAGAAGATGCACTACTTTCTATGGGGTGGGAGCAATGGATATGGGCCTTGGGGTGTGTCCACTTTTTCTTTATGGCCCCCACAGCATTGGGGAAGGCAGGAGCCAGAACAGGTTCCCTTGGCTCTCTCAGTATGTTCTGTCCCATTGACATCCCCTCGTCTTGCCTTGGCCTAGAAACGCCGTGAGAGGGAAATGCAGCAGGAGATGATGCTCAGAGATGAGGAGACCATGGAGCTCCGGGGCACCTACACATCCCTGCAGCAGGAGGTGGAGGTCAAAACCAAGAAACTCAAGAAGGTGAGAGATGCTGCGACATGGCGGCCCTGAGAGCCTCTCTCTAGACAGTCAACTGCCCAAAGGATGTGTATTTCAAGGACCCATCCCCACTTTTTGTTGTTGTTGTTGTTGATCATGGAGCTTGAACTCAGGGCCTGGGCGCTGTCCCTAAGCTTTTTTGCGCAAGACTAGCACTCTATCACTTTGAACCACAGCATCACTTCCAGTGTTTGAGTAATTAATTGGAGATAAGAGTCTCAAAAGGACTTTTCAGCTGGAGCTGGCTTTGAATGGCGATCCTCAGATCTCAGCCTCCTGAGTAGCGAGGATTACAGGCATGAGCCATTGGTGTTCAGCGTCCATCCCCATTTTCCATACACTGCTCAAGTCCTGAGCTCTATTTCCTGGGCTAGACATTGCAGGGCAGTGGCAAGGCATGGGTCTGTGGCAGGGTGGAAGGGCTTTTCCCTTAGAGTGTGGAGTCTCATGGGCTGAAGTCACTTACAGTCATTTCCAGTCTGTCATTGTCATGTGCCATCCTCCTCCTCAGTGACTTCTTCCTTTGACTGCCACAAATGACTCACAGTTTTAGTAGCTGGGTGTGGAGAAGGCCCAGGGATTGTGCTGAGGCCTGAGAAGGAGCCTCATGCCTGGGGAAATCCAGGAAGGGAACACAGCCCCTCCATATAGTGTCCCCAGTCCATGGGATGAGGGTCTAGGGCATGAAACAGCAAGTTCCAGCTGGGATTCCAGTAAGAACATAGAGAAGCCCCAGGCTTGCAATGTGGCTGCAGAGCTGGCCAGGCCTAGGCCCAGATACCATGGCAGTTCCCAGGACACTGCTCACTAGATTAAAAGTAGAACCGGAAGGTTGGTGTTGACCTCCACACCCCTCACTTCTGGGAGCTCCTGGAGAAGCAACAGTGGGATAAGGCACCTACTTCTCAATTTGTTCCATCAGTAACCCAGATGCCAGCCTGGGATCTCCAAATGCCACCTGAATCCTAATTTTTTTCTGTTGATTAGTTGTAGGCTCTTTTAGTTAGTCTATGACTTGATTTCCTTGTCTATAAAGAGTAGGTGTTGGGTGGGGCACCAATGGCTCACACTTGTAATCCTAATTTCTTAGAAGGCTGACATCTGAGGATTGCAGTTTGAAGCCATCCTAGGCAGGAAAGTCTGTGAGACTCTTATTTCCTATTATCCAGAAAAAGGTTGAACTGGAGGTGTGACTCAAGTGGTAAAGAGCCAGCCTTGAGCAGAAAAGCCTCTGAGCTCAAGCCAGGAGCTGGTAGCTCATGCCTATAATCAATCCTAGCTAGTCAGGAGGCTGAGATCTGAGGATTGAGGTTCAAAGCCAGCCCAGGCAGGAAAGTCCGTGATACTCTTATCCCTAATAAACCACCAGAAGACCGGAAATGGCACTGTGGCTCAGGTGGTAGAACGCTAGCCTTGAGCTAAAGAGAGCTGAGGGACAGTGCTCAGGCCCAGAGTTCAAGGCCCATGACCGACCAAAAAAAAAAGCCCCTGATCTCAAGCCTGTAAGTACTGGCATTTAAAAAAAAAAAAAAAAAAAAAGAAGAAGAAGAAAAAGAAGACCAAGAGATCTTACAGGTCCTTTGCAAATAAGTAGTCCACCTTGGCTTAGGATGGTGGCAGCAGCTGGGAGTTCATCATTCTGGGTAGAAGCCTTTGGGCCTTGAGCCTACAGCCCACAGGGCCCCTGATTGGTGCCTTGCCACACTGAGCAGCCTCTGAGCTGCACCTGTCCTCACCCAGCTCTACGCCAAGCTGCAGGCGGTGAAGGCGGAGATCCAGGATCAACATGATGAGTACATCCGCGTGCGGCAGGACCTGGAGGAGGCGCAGAATGAACAGACCCGGGAACTCAAGCTCAAGTAGGGCCAGGTCCTCTTCTGGTTCCGGTTCTGGGTCCCCCTGAATTCCTCAGGGCCTCCCTAACAGACCCCTCTCCTTCCTGCAGGTGGCATCCTGACTGCCTGCAAACTCACAAGTCCATATATTATAGGAATCAATGTGTCTGAGGGAAGAGGGGTAGGCCCAGATCTGGATTTATCTCTGCCCCATCAGTCTGAAGTTGATGTACCCCCAAAGTGGATGCTGGGTACTGGTCAAAAGTAATCTTAAATGCCCCAGCCTTCAATTTTGCCTTAGAAGCAGTGGCTTTCAAGTCCCATTATTGCTATAGAGATCTGTATCCTCCACCATTTTGGCTTCTCCCACCACCTCTGTTGCCTCTATTCACTTCCTCCATTCCCCATTCCTGCCTCATTCTGCTCCCAGATACCTAATCATTGAGAACTTCATCCCCCCTGAGGAGAAGAACAAGATCATGAATCGGCTCTTCCTGGACTGTGAGGAGGAGCAGTGGAAGTTCCAGCCGCTGGTGCCTGCTGGAGTGTGAGTTGCTCTAGCCTGTTGTCTGGGCCATGGGTCTTTCAAGCCCCCTCCAGGTTGGGCTTAGTGAGGGACCTGAGGGCCTGATTGTGGGGAAATGGATGTTTTGAGATTAGGGAACAGACTGGGGAGATGTAGAATAAAGGATGGCACTCTGAGGACCTAATTTGTAAGAGTTTCCATGAAGGAAGGATGTTGGGGCTGGGATAATGGGTACCTCATTTGCCTGAGATGCAAAAAAAAAAGTCCTGTAAGATGAGGGGTAGGGAGACTTGGAGAAGCAGCTGTGTCTCTTTGGCAATCCCAGTGATGCTAACAGCTGGCCACTTCTGGTGAATTCTCATTTGTCAGGTGCCAGAAATAGGAACCATAATTAATATTTGCCCAGCTCTGCTGTGTCAGCTACTGTGTTTGAAAATGTAGACAGAAGATAAATCAGACACAGTATGAGCTCACAGTCTGGAGAGAAATACTGAGAAGCAATCCGATCATGACAACACAGAGTCTAAATCTAATGTCTGTAGCCTCAGTCAGCTGGGTGATTCAGCATTTCCACCTGTTTCCTGCTCCTAGCCCTTGGGTGTAGCTATCCATTGGCTGAGTGTGCAGTGCCCTCTGCTGGTGGTGAGGACCAAAGCTATATATTCAAACTGAACAATGTGACTGCCTCACCCAGCTGGACCACTAGCCCTTTACAGGTAGACTGTAAACAGCGATGAAGGGACAGTCCTTTCCCTGGAGATTCTTTGTACTCTTATCATAAGAATACTGCCAAGGGGGCTGGGAAGGTGGCTCTGTGGTAGAGCGCTTGCCTTGCATGCCTGAGGCCCTGGGTTCGATTCCTCAGTACCACATAAGCAAAAAGAAAAAAGCCGGAAGTGGCGCTGTACCTCAAGTAGTAGAGCGCTAGCCTTGAGCTGAAGAGCTGAGGGACAGCGCCCAGGCCCAGAGTTCAGGCCCCATGACCGGACCCAAAAAAACAAAAGAAAAAGAATACTGCCAAGGTAGGAGAGTAATGTGCCCCAAAGCTGGGATGGGAAGCTAGCAAGATGTCTACATATATCTTCTCCCTGGAATGTCAGATGCCTGTTCATCTGTCTGCTTTCTGTATGGCCAATCTCTACCCATGGGGAAAGTTCATGACCAGAGTCTCTCAGTAAGGTCATTTTGGACTTAAAATCCACCCTTTTAATTTTAGTAGACATACTCTGTAGTCTCATGCCCAGGTTCTCTCCTAGAATCTAGAGAATCTTGATGCAGGAAGTGGAACAGTGTCTTTCTGCTGGTTAATTGGAGTTTGGAGTTTCACAGACTTTCCTGACAGGCTAATTTCAAACCTTGAGCCTCAGATCTCAGCCTCCTGAATAGCTAGGATTATAGATGGGAACCATTGGTGCCCAGCAGAAAATTTTATTTTATTCTTTAGGAGATTGAATTTACCACCTCACACTGTTGCTTAGCTTTTTCCTTCAAGGCTGATGTTCTACCACTTGAGCCACAGCTCCACTTCTGGCTTTTTCTGGTTAATTAGAAAGAAGAGTCTCTTGGGCTTTCTGCCTGGGCTGGCTTCAAACCTTAGTCCTCAGATCTCAGTCTCCTGAGTAGCTAAGATTACAAATGTGAGCTATGGGTGCCTGGCTCTCTGTTTTCTTTTCAAGTAAAGTCACATATAAAAAGTTTTCTTAATGACACCAGGTTTGCATATAACATGCACGCATCTTTCCATGCTCTTTAAATGACCACTAGGTTACTTGTACTATGTAATAAAATGAAAATACTCTGTAAAAAAAGTTTTCTTTGGGCTGCTGAGAAGGTGGCTCAGTGGTAG